TCCACTTCCTGTCAATCTATTCAAAATGCTATCTATGCACCAAAAGTGAATCGAACAATAAATTAGCTTTTTTCGTATAGGTCGGTCACTGGCCGATTTCCCGGAGAAAAAAAGAGTCTTAAGATAATTTATGCAAAAAGTTAACTATATACCGAATTTCAAACAAATCAAGCTATAAATAAAAAAGAAGGTACATTGCAAAACAGGCCCTAAAAAGCAAATTTAAAGTGAAAAAAAAGAAGATAAAAAAGGCCTTAAAAAGAAAATTAAAAGTGAAAAAGGAATAAATTGAAAAAGGCATTAAAAAGCAAAAAGTAGATTATAAAAATAGAAATAAAAATCAAATTGTGTTAGTGTAAGTGCAAGTGTGCAGCGTAAGCGGCAAAGCGCGCAGTGTTAGCGGCAAAACATGAAACGCGCGCAGTAAGCAGCAAGGCCACCATCAAAGACCCATCACTACGCGGCAACGCCACCACCTAAGGCCCAGTGGTAAGCGGGAAGGCAATCACGCCCAACACTTCGCAGTAGTGCCATTACCAAAGGCCAAACTGTGCAACAAGGCCTCCAGATACTGCTTGCCAAGCAGTGAGGCCCAACTAAGTGATCTGATTTCCGATGACTTTTTAAATTGCTTTTTGAAAGTTTGAGAGTTTGAATTTATACGTGAACTATCAGACATTCTACTGTCTTATTAAAAATATATATACGCGACATATCTGTGCTATTCGAGCACAGACGATCGGTTGAGTCCTCGATAAATTTGCTTTTGAAAGTCTCAGACATTTTAACGTTTAGTCAAAAATCCATATACGCGGCGCATCTGTGCTACGAGTACATACGATACCGGTTGATTCTTAAACATTTTCTTTTACTGGCTGATACTAAGCAGTATCAGAATTCAAACATCGGCAATAACTAAATTTTTGACTTAATTCGTAATTACTGAAAATGACTCACGCTAATGACTTTTCACGCGCCTGTGATGCACTGCTAGAATTCGAAGAGTTGTATAACAACACTCCAAGTGCAAATCACTCAGTTTTTTCTCTTGAAGTCCAGAAGGAAGAATTGAAAGCGCTGTGGTTAAAAGTCAAGGAGTCATTCGATGGCTTATCTGCTGACGAAGCAGGTAGTATAGCCATGCGTTCGGCTAAGACCAGGTATCAGGATTGCTACGCAGCATACCTAACATGTGCGGCGCTGATGGGTGAAACAATGCACAACTTGACCTTTGTGCAGCAAAGCTCATCAACGGTTAATCCTGCAGCCCGGGAACCTGAACCGATCCCCCGCTCGGGTGTTAATCTCCCCCCGACACCGAAATTTTTTATGGTGACTACATGATGAAAAATTATATCACCTAAACCATAAGACTCGTGGGGAAGCAAAGGACATCGTGAAGAAATCCCCATTGGCCAATGATGGGTTTATAACCGCGTGGTAGAATTTGTCGAAACACTACGAAAACAAAAGGGTGATGGTAAACAGTCAGTTGAAAACGTTGTTCAATTTACCAACTGTTACTGTCGAACGCAGCGCGGAAATAAAAAATTTACAACGAGCAGTAAATAATTGCATCTCAGTGCTCCAGATGTATGGAATTGAGATAAGCAACTGGGATGCAATATTTGTCTTTCTAGTCTCTAGTAGGTTGCCGGGCACCATATTAGCCTTATGGGAGCAAGGAATCGTCCACAAGACCTAAATTCCGTGGTGGGAGGAACTGGATAACTTTTTAACCAACAGGTATGAGGCGCTGGAAACGGTTCCAGACATTCAAAGCACAAGAGTGTCGAGGACAATGCAAAATCGTGGTCCAGCCCCATCATATGGATTACTCAATTACTCAATTCCACAGTCTACTTGCACACTCTGTCCACAGGAAGTGCATGTGCTAAAAGCGTGCCCGAAATTTCTAGCCATGAAAGTAGACGATCGTGTAAAAGTGGATATAAAATACAATTTATGTATGAATTGTTTAGCAAGAGAAAGTAAGAGCACCTTTAGCTGTTTAAATTGCCATCAGCGGCATCATTCCCCGCTGCATCGGAATCCAACTGGGAATAGCCCATCGACTTCAACTAATCGGCAGGCATCAGGAAATACGGAGGCCAGGCCTGCTCAACCCCCAACCACATTTAGGAACGTCAACGCACTTTTTTCAAGAAACGCGAAAAATGTTATACTAGGTACTGCTATGGTGCATATCTGCTACTCAGGAGTGAAATATGAGGCAAGGGCTCTTCTTGATTCGGGATCAGAAGACACATTCATAAGGAAGCGATTGCAATGTCGTATCAAACTGCCAACTCAGCCTGCTGACATGCAGATATGCGGTATTAATGCGTCGACATCGGCTAAGGTGCGAGAAGTCGCACAGTTTGTTATAGGGTCTCCTGTCAACCCCCAGATTAGAATTGAGGCAAGAGGCCTGATTTTCCTCCCAATTGACAGGAAACCTCGCCCAGTTTACAGTGGACCAAATGGATTTTGGTCTACTGCCCCCAATTAATTTAGCCGATGTCGACTTTAATAAACGTGGTAATTGGTGCGGACTACCCGCAAATGATGATAGGAGACGTTAAGAAGAACGTTTTAGGTTCCCTTCTTCTCCCAATATGGTTACAAAATTACACGTCTCGATGTACACCGAAATCTTGAGCTCTGAGCTCACTCGGTTTTGGGAGTTAGAACAAGTCCCAAGTAAAAAACAGAACTTGAGGAAGCAGTCTGCGAGCGCCGGTATGTGAGTACAACAACGAGAACCGGACAAGGAAAGTATATGGTGAGACTCCCATTTCGGCATGAGTTCCCAGTCGACATAAATCTTGGATATTCGAGGACCGGTGCAATGCAGCAGTTCTTGAGAAACGAGGCAGCTTTGGCGCGAAAGCCGGAACTTAAGGCAGATTACCATCGGGTACTCCGAGAATATATAACTCTGCACAGCACATCTGGAAACAAAGGTCCAGGATCCTATTATCTGCCGCATCATGCAGTGGTAAAACCAGATAGCACTACGGCAAAGCTTCGCGTAGTGTTTAATGTATCAAACCCAACATCCAATGGGGTAAGTTTAAACGATGTGCCATCCTGGTCCAGTTCTTCAAGCCGACCTTATCGCGTTGATATAGAAAAGGAGATTTTTCAAATATGTATTCAACGCTGATATTGAAAAGATGTATCGGCAAATCTTGCGGCATCCCAAGGACACTAGGTTTCATAGGATATTATTTAAGGAATCAGTGGAAGAGGAATTAATGGATTATGAGCTACAAACCGTGATTTTCGGAGTCAACTGTGTCCCATACCTAGTGATAAGGACGCTACTTTAGTTGGCAGAAGATATTAGCTTGAAGTACCCTCTGGCATCCAAGGTTTTAAAGCAACATATGTATGTTGAAGACGTTCTTGCTGGTGCACACGACTGCGAGATCGCCATTTACACACGGAATGAATTGATCGAGGCTCTCACAGAAGCAGGATTCCCCTACGTAAGTGGACCTCAAACTCCAAAGAAATTTTAGCCGCCGTACCAAAGGAGCATCTTCTCAAGCAAGATTTCTTGCAGATTGACGACTTAAGCGAGGCAAGGATGTTGGGTATTAGACGGAATGCCATTCAAGATAGGTTCCATTTCAACGTTCAGGAGATGTACATAAAGCCAAGCTACACTAAGAGAGAGGTATTATCGTGTGTAGCAAAACTGTTCGACCCTGCAGGTTGGCTGAGTCCAATCGTCATCGAGGCGAAAATCCTAATGCAAGATATTTGGCTAACTAGGATTGACTGGGATGACAACATACCAAGGGATATTTTCTTGAGATGGGAAAATTTTCTAAAAATTACGTCAATATTTCAAAAATCGGAATTCCAAGGTGGATTAGGTATACCCCATGGAACGAAGTTGATTTTCATGGTTTTTGTAATGCCTCTGAGAAGGCCTATGCTGCTGCGCTGTATGTAAGAGTTCGGGAACGAAATTCAAATATCGTTCCAAACGTAAGTCTGCTGGTAAGTAAGATCAAAGTAGCGCCAGTAAAAACAATATCTTTACCACGATTAGAGTTATTTGGGGCGCTTCTTTTAGCAGAATTAATTAGGTCTTTACTTCCACAGCTCGATGTTGCTCCACCAGTGGTCTACAAATGGACAGACTCCACCATTGTGCTCTCATGGCTGCAGAAGCCTCCATGCTGCTGGATTACTTTCGTGGCGAATAGAGTCGCGAAGATTGAGGAGCTTGTCGGATCGAGTGACTGGAATCACGTGGATTGAAAGAACAATCCAGCAGTTCTTGGTAGTCGCGGCATTTCTCCCCAAGAACTCGCTGAGAGCACTCTTTGGTGGCAGTGTCCAAGCTGGTTGAAGGAGCAGCCTTCTGAGTGGCCTCAGAGACGGACAGATCCACTGAAAACCGAACTGGAACTAAAATGAGTTAGAACTCACGCAGCACGAGTTTTAGATAAAGAGGACATCTTGGAACGGTTCTCCGATTTTTCTCGCGCACTGAGGGTAGTTGCACGAATTTTTCAATTCTATTGGAAAATGCATCAAGTGCACAAATTAACAAATCGAAACGATTCTACGGAACTTACAGCAAAGACAATTCGAAAGGTAAAAACCCGACTTATCTTGTTGACCCAAAGGCGTTGTTATCCGGAAGAATACGGTGAATTATCTTTTTCTAACTCAGTAAGTGCTAAGAGCTCCATCCGTACTCTCAATCCATTTCTGGACAAGAATGGAGTGATGAGAGTAGGTGGAAGACTAGCGCTAGCGGCATTGTCGTACAATGAACGATATCCAACCATTTTGCCGTATAATTGCCAATTTTCGCGACTTCTCGTAAAGTTGTCATACTTGATTTCATTACATGGAAGCATGCTGAGACTTATGAGGTCAGAATATTGGATAGTACGGTTAAAAATTTAATAAAAACCGAAATTAATAAGTGCAAAGTTTGTATGATTTACAGAAAAAGAAAAAGGGAACAACTCATGGCTGCGCTCCCACCGGAAACGACGGACGTATCCAGACCATTCACCAACACTGGCGTGGATTTTACGGGCCCGTTTGAGATTAAAAATTACACTGGCCGAGCATGTCTCATCACTAAAGGATACGTTTGCTTCTTTTTATGCTTTGCTACAAAGGCAATACACCTAGAGGCAACTAGCGATCTATCGACATCAACATTCTTGGGTGCTTTTGCCAGGTTTGTGGCAAGACGTGGCTGTCCGCGTGCCATGTACTCGGACAATGGCACGAGCTTTGTCGGAGCAAACATAGCCTTAAGACATGACTTTAAAAAATTCACAACCGAAGCCTCACACCTAACAATGCAATCAAATCTTCATCACGAAGTCAACTGGCACTTCATACCACCAGGAGCTCCTCACATGGGAAGACTATGGGAAGCAGGAGTGAAGAGCTTCAAAACCCATTTTCGAAAGGTAGCAAATGCGACGTGTTTTACGATGGAAGAATTATCGACTTTACTGGCCAAAATGGAAGCATGTCTTAACTCACGTCCGATAAGTCCAATTTCAGATAATCCTGAATCGCTTGAGCCTCAAACCCCGAGACATTTTTTAATTGGAAGTCCGCTGCTCGCGATCGCTTAACCAAAAATCAGCGGAAACCCGCTGTCAATAATCAACCGTTGGCAAAAGCTAAGGGCGCTTCACCAAGGGTTCTGTCAGCGATGGAAGGTGGAGTACCTAAAGGAACTGCGCAAGCGAGTCAAGTGGCAGTTCCCAAGCCGAAATCTAGAGGTTGACGACTTCATAGTTGCCAAAGAGGACAACTTACCCCCGAGTGAGTGGCGACTTAGCAGAGTTGTTAGGGTTTTCTAAGGTCAAGATAGTCGAGTTAGAGTTGTAGATTTACGTACGACACGAGGTATAATTACACGTCCAATTGTGAAATTGATTATGCTTCCCGTCGAAAAGAGCACTAATGAATTATCTAATTTCAGAGAAACTCAAAATGTTCCGAGCCAACAACAACAACCAAGTGAAGGAACACAGGTGCCCTGTGTGCAACCACAACCACCGGTTGGTCTTCTGTCGGCAACTGCGCCGACGACTGAACCGACGGAGAGGCTGAGGGCAGTCCTCCTTCATCGTAATTGTGCCAACTGCCTGTCACCGCGTCACATGGCCAGCAGTTGTCCATCGACAAAACACTGCGATCGGAGTCAAGAGCGGCATCACAGTCTCCTACATCTGTGGGAAACCGACAGGGGCGATGAAGACGTGCCGCAGGCCTTAAACGCGGTAGACAGTAGGCCTACTAGAAGACCCATACAGAGCCCAACCTCTGTTGGACGACTCCAGTGCCGAGGAGGTTCTGGAAATTGATGCCAGCGACGAAGACGTTCCCGCAGAACAAGTCCACATTTCAGTCCCCACGTTACTCAGACCACCTCTGTCGGGTATCCGGTCAGTGGTCCAGCGGCCACCCCCACCGAGAGAAGGAAGAAGTACCTCGCCAAGAAGGCGCAACAACAAGCCACAGAAGCGGCCTCAGGCAGTGATGGTAAGAGTGGTAGCAAGCGGCCGAGTACATGCTGTTCGTGCCCTCATCGACCCAGGGCAAGCAAAATCCACTGTAGCACGCACCCTGGTGAGACGAATAAACCTTCTGCGACGGGAGTCAGCAGAGCAGATCAATCTGACGCTGAAAGATTGGCGTGATAGGATCAGCATACAAGAGAGAGTAGTGGATAGCCTAATAAAGACCACGCTTGCACGCTCATTGGACTCAAATCGTCGTCGACGAGCTCGACAATTTGCGGTTGGCAGACCGAACATTTTATAAGTCAAACGCGGTTTCGCTGATTTTGGGTGCTTACGAATATGGCATGATTCTCCGGCCAGGGCTTATGCCAGCAACCCCAACACGACCAGCTGCCCAGAACACCATTTTTGGATGGGTGTCTCCGGTTGCTCCCCCTATTAGACGGCGGCGAGGGAGTCGAGAAGAACCTTTAGTTTAAGAAATGGAATTGAAAAAAATAAATAAATAAATAATTAAGAATGAATTGTTAACTATTATATTGTATACGAGATACTTGAATTACGTTCTAAATTTAACTATTAAAAATTGTGAAATCTATATATTGAAATTTGTAATGTAGTCATTTTTTGCAGTGTTGCTGCAAGGCGGGCGGCATGTTTACGCGTGCAACCCTGAGCAGCAGCCATAGCCTCTACCTAGAAATGTCGCTGCTGTCTTCTGTCTTCTGTTCTCGACTGAGTGACTCTTCAAATATATGGGAAAAGTCCAGTTAGTCCCGTTTAGGATTTCCACCTTTTGTGGAAACCTTTAAAAGGCCAATGTTGCCGGACTGAAGCCCTTCTTTTGATCCAGCAGCTCAGCAGCATCATCTCAGGTGAGGGTATTTATATGTGTTATGTAGGTTTTGTGTACATACTGTTTTGTTATACTAATCCTACCAATGTTTTACTGAGAGCTTGGCGACATTTTCTAAAATCACTTAAACTCAATGAAGATGATGATTTTTATTCCCTTAATTTCCTAAGTTTCGTTTATATCATTATCAATTCTAAATGAATACATTTTTGCTCTTTAATTAACTTTCCATTACATTCATCCTTCATCAATTCTAGAACCTTTTTATTCAATAGAGGAAAATTAAAAATATTTTCTATTGGATATGAAGAGGTATCGAAAAATTTTAGAATGTCAACACGAATATCATTATAATAAAAATAATTAAAGTCGTCAGTTTGAATATCATATATGAATGAATCAGTATCCATATAATTCAAAGCAATATTATTTTTATATTTCTCTTTGATGTAATCATAATGGAAACTATACATTTTAAATTTTGAAAGTTCTAAAACGGTAAAACCAATATATATCGGTTTATTATATAGAACTGACATTTGCTTCATTAGATTTGCTATTAAATTATCAGAAAATTTACTTAGACTGTGGAAATTAGGTTTTGCTATTAAAGCTCTAGCGCCTATTTTTTTTCTACCTCTCCTCCCAATATTAGTATTTTCCCAATCTTCTACTAATTTAACATTTACTCTTTTATCTTTTGGGTTGCCAAAAAAGTAATTGCGGATTTTTTAAAAGAAAGTAAATGCATTTTTAATAAAACTTAGAATGAACTTTAATCAAATATGTAATTGGCATTTTGTTCGATAACCTTTTGCCNCGCAATTACTTTTTGGGCAACCCAATATATCCTCCATAGTTTTCCCATACACTGCATTATTTAATAATTTAAAGAAATTTTCTTCAAACTAATTTGCTGCTAATGTTCTATGATAATTATTTAAACAATATATTTTTTTTACCAATCTGATTGATTAAATTTTAGAATTCTATGAATTTTCCTTAATATAAGACCATGTTTAATACATTGTTGTCAATTTTTATAATGAATAATATATTTGATTTTGGGTGCTAAATCACCAATCAACTTTGTATGTTTCATTGAACCAACTTTTTTATTTTCAAAACAAAATGGTAAGTCATTATGAGTATTGTGAATGGTTATGGGATTATCTAAATCTACTTCTAATATGTAACCAACTAAAGAATCTTCCGGTATACTCCTCTTCGTTTTCAATTCATTCAAAATTATTGTGCGGGATATATTGTGACTTAGCATACCCATATAAATTACTAACATATAAATAAATTAATGAATGTGAAAGCTTAGTCACATCGTAATCACTTAAATATTTATTGTTAGCAATTGAATGGCGTTTACAGCATTGAACATGTATGCATGTTTTCATAAGACAATAATTCTAATTCTATTCTAGTTATTTTAAGCATTGCATCCCAAGATAAACCTGGAGATGTATGATATTGAGATGGGTCTAGTCGATAAATTCCTTTGCATAACTTTTTAAAATTTTCAAAAATGTCACTGAGGAGTAGCACATCTACTTTTAAATATAATAATAAATAATCTAATAAATTGGAACAATTAAATGTTGTCCAAACATTTTGTGCATGCTGGTAATCATCGATACTACATGACTTAATTGTTAATTTATTAAAAAAATATGAACAAATAGGCAATTGAGTTTCTTTGAGGCGTTCTTCTGAATCTAAGTAGTCATATGAGAAAATACCTTTTCGTTTCATAAAAACAAAGTGATGATCGTTAGGAAAAAAATTCTTAGTTATTTCTTAATCATTATCATTATTAGCTAAACTGTCTAAACTAGAGGGCATGGATGGTGTCTTTTTCATTAACATGTTTCATGTTTTGAAATATGCAATTCTTTGTTCAAGGGAATTATATTTATATCCCCCTTAACAGACGATAATTCTTTAATAAATAGATGACAATCATATTTTGATAAATTATGAAAAAATATTGGAATAAAATTTGCTATCTGATATTCCAAATTACATTTTTTATATGCCGGACCTCTATAATCACCAGTTAAATGATAATCATTTAATAAAAGTTCCATTCCACAAATATGACATACTGTATCCTCTATTTGTCGTCTAAGTTGGCTATCAATTAATGGATACATTTTAGCTGTTTTATTCAAATATAGGTGGTGAATATCTAAAACATCATCGAAAATACTTTTAGCAAAAAGTTTTGGAGTATCAACTCCACTATATATTTTAAAGCGATTGAATTGGTTATTGTGTGAACACTTTATAAAATAACAACAGACATAGGGAATATGTTCTTGTACATATTGTGTCTTAGTAGAATTTTGTATATCTATTGGCTTTAAAATACATTCGAAATCTGCATATATAGTAAAGGGTACATCTATTTGTTTTTTGAAATTTTCAAATTTTAATATTTTTTTTTCAGGTTAAGGCATACGTGTAACAATTTTTCTACATTGCATTTTATGGGTAAATAATTCTTCTTCCTTATAAAAATGAATTAGACATGTATTACAAATATATAATTTTTTCTCATGTCTTGTAACTTGAGATCCAAGTAATCTATTTAAATTTTTTATCCAAACATAATGGCTTTCATTGAAATCATCACTGTATAAAGAAATAAGATTAACGTGATGTGATTTTTCTTCTTTTGTTAAATAAAATGGTCCTACTACCAAATTGTTTTCTATACCAAACACATTTACACTAATATATGGATTATTTAATTCGAATATTTCAATATCTTTTAGTTGTAATGGGAAATTTAAATTTTCAAAATTGACTACTTTTTCATTATTTAAAATTATAATGGAATTTTCAATATTTATCTCTCGCTGTGTTTTGAGGGGTGGTAAAGAGATGAAATTATTATTACATCATTGTTAACAATATTAATACATGCTTTTTTATCTGCAATTATTTTCGGTAGTGGGATATATAATGAGCCTCTAATTGGTTGGTATTTATTTATTTTTCTTCTAGATGAATAATTTCACTTAGACTCCAACCACTACCTCGCTCTTGAAATGTGTTCATTTTTTCAATCAATTTACTAAACTTTTCTTTAATTATATCAACAACATTGCTGTTCTCCATAAATGCTACAGTCATTAATATTTGGTGTGACAATATAGCAAATTCTTCAATATTTTCTTTTATTTGAATGTATTTACAAAATAACTCAAAGTTAAATTTGATGCTTTCATGC